GTAACCGGTGAACCGAACTATTATCAATTTGAACTTAAACGGAACGAAGTGCAACGACGGAGAATGCTCACGCCTGCCAATGAAAGTGGTTGAATTAAATGGCAGTGGGTGGATGGCACGAATTAAGATCGGTTACGGTGGAATATTTTCGGGGAGAGTCTCCTTTTCCTACCGAATGAATTATTCATGACCTCAATGGCTGATTAATTGCGCCCTTAAGCTCAAGGATTATTAAGATAAATGATGTCCATAAAAAACACTTCTGGTATTAACGAATTCGGTAAAATATCTTCTTACTGGGGAGTGACGGTTTCATTTTATTCCAAGGGGCCGGGTATTATTTACACGATAGTCATATCGTTCACGGGAAATGGAAACTTCAAATATCTAAATCATAATGGGAAATAATATACGATATGTATCCATCGAGCGATTCGACTCTTAACGAGATCAAATTTAATTAAATTGATTCAAATATCTCTGATAAGAATTCGGCGAGGGGTCAGTGTAGGATCAAATTGATAATCACGTTTGATTGTCTTTATTAAAGTAATTTCTATCTATGGTGAAATGATCGCAACAAAATATCGAGTTTTCTGAGTATTTAGAATATGTTGAACTGAACATTAAAATTTAATAAAAATTTTATGAATATCTTCGTGTGACATTGCATATCGTTGTTATTTTCCATTGAAGTATACTTAGCTTGTTGTCACATAATGCATAAAACTATAAATATCTTGTGTCAACAACATCCTACGATATGTAAGTATATAAATTGTATATTAGATGTTTAATGAATGATGACGTTGATGAGCTACAGTATCTGTAGCTAACTTTAGATTATGAAAACAATAAAAAATAATGTGTATTTTTCAATTTAAAAAAGATAGAGTTAGAGTAGAGATAGAGATAGAGAGATAGAGAGAGTAGAGATAGAATAAAAAGTAGAGATAGAGAGTCAATAATTCGGAGAATAAACTTCATCAATTGTAGTTTGTTCGATTTTTATCACTTCTAATTCAAACATTTAATACCAACACTGCACTGTTTCCTCTTAGGACACAATCATATTCATTTTAGTATATGACTAATTAAACATTAAATAGTTCTACTCTTGTTAGATTCGTCACATTTCCGAGAGATATTATCTATCGATACAACTTTTAATAAACTGTGCTCCGTGGCATTCAGTTAGCAATTTTTTCAGGTAGTGTAATCAAATCGCAATTAAAAACGCGCTTACAGCGAGAACTGCAACGCCAGAATTCGCGACGATTAAATGCTTACGAGCAGTATCTCACGGTGATTAACTTTTGATCCGCATCGAGTGTTGATTACAGCGCAGCAAGCATTGCTACAAAACGTTCATAAACGGGATACAGCTCAATTATCGACAGCTTACTGCGGATTTCTACATAGGATCGATATTTGTTTTTATGCTCTACTTACATCGTACGTTCATAGTAAATATTGATTTTTAAATGCAATCTTATTGAATCCAAAATAAGAAAAATGTGAAAACCCGTCATGGTGTGAATTGAGTAATCTTTCACTCGTGGAATATCGTATGTGCAGAAAGACTTTAGCAAATATGCTTGCTTAAGTAAATATGTATGTACGTATATTTCAACGAGATTTTCCTTTTAGTGCCTGTTTGGAAACTTATTTTTTTAAATTCAATGCATGCAAGAATAAGTAATAATGTTCCATCACATTTTCTTAAAAGGGCACGTCAAATGTTGACTTGTAACAAAATATTAACATATATAGCGACCATTAACACCATAGAATATATGAACACATAAGTATCATGGAATATACTGATTTCTATAATATAATCTTTTCTTAGATTTAATTATCTGCATCTTTTTCATCAACTCCTATCTTTGTCAGCTTTGTCGATTTTTATTCTAGATTTAATGTAATAAACCAAAAACTTTACAACACTACGTGTTCATAGAAATTTAAAGAGAATATTTTTTGGTCCAATATGTATCAAAGTAAAGGAAATTGTTTTTCATATCTGTAGTATTAATTTCTAATTAATGACAGAATTACAGAATGTTTCAAGCTTTGAGAATATTTAAATGGTCGAAAGCTACATATAGGTACTGTTATTTTGGAATAATCCGATTGCTTTTCCCCTTAACTACAGGTGGCACGGAACAGGCCGGTTAAAATGAAATGATTTGATGCATGTCAAACACGATAAAAAAGGCATTATTTCAGATCCGTTTAATTTTCTGAACTGCAATTCAACCTGGTCTTCAACGTAACCAGTTTCTATTTAACTTTTGTAGCCACTTGACCACGAAAACCTATAAACGACAGAGTAATTTTCCATTTGCTACGGACAGCCAATTGATGAATTCCAGATTTTTCTTTGTGGTTCACTCTTTTACCTTGTATGCTATTCAGAAACCCAATGCATTGAATCGTCTGTAAAAAAAAGTACAGCGAGACCGAGGCATATTTAAAGAGCTGAATCATTCTTTTCTCTCGGACAGTATTTCCTCGCGCGAATATTTTTCCTTATTGTAATCCATACATTCGTAAGTATGATAAATATGATTCGATGAATTTATTTATGTGAATTTAAAATTATTCATAGAATGCAAATTATTTGCAAATTATTTGATTGTGTCGTAATTGTTAAATATAGGATCAATCCTTGCTACTAAAGTATAGCTTTCCTTTTTCACTCCTTTTCCGTTAGAGATATGCTTACAATTAGCTTAACTAATAATGTTTCTTTCAACTTCTAAATCTTCTTGGTAAAATATATAAAGAAGATAATGTAGTAGTTGTGTCAATATATTTTGGAATATGTGTATTCTATGCATACATTTCGGCAGATTTAAATTTTTTTACGAATTCATAAAAAACTGTGTTTTAGGCACATCGAATCGAAACTGATATATATAGATATAGATATCTATAACCGGAGAAGTTTTATATATATATATTTTTTAAATGTCAATAAGTAGTATTAATGGAAGTAAGAAAATTCCGTTTGTAATCTATGTAAGTACTATTTACGTTTGTGACCGCGGAAATACTATTACATAATTCAAGCGAACGAATACATTAAACTTGTTTGAATAAATCTATGAATCATCTTTCCAAGGTGTGTATTTCTTCTGTGAATTTTTGCGACAATCGAGTACATAGTTTCTCGATTTATGTCACAGTATAACATTACGTACCATTTGAACATTGCAGGACAACGAACTACAATTCTCATCTTACTCGTAAAATTTACATAATACATAGGAAGATTTTCTTCTTTATTCGAAGATTAACATTACAACAAATATAAATTTAAATTTCTTCTGAAACATGACATAGAACCTAACAATGTTTGTCATTTATTCGCCACAACATTCATTGTTTAATAAAAGAAACAGTCAATTAATTATTAAATTAAAAATGTACATTAAACATGTATTTAATTACAGATATTAATAATATCTTTTAAAATATCACAATTTATTACAACATATTGCAATCTTCGATTTTTCTAATTCTATATTTAGTGTAACAAAAAGTATCAAATGTATGTTTAACTATCAAACATTGTATGATTGCAACTGTACTTAGAATTATATTGCAAACTTTTATTTCTTTCATCTATATCCAATGCTTTAATATATTGTTCATGTTACCTAGTGATTTCCCTAAATTGCACGTTGCGTTTTATTTCAGTGAATCAATTATAATATTACGGCGTTATTATGGTTATGACCGTGATACCAGTAGCAATTTTGCAGAAAACATAGGAAATATACTTGCAGAGCGAGATGTAATTCTTGGAAATCCCCAACACGACTGCTATGCAACTATTCTTGACGTCAGTACCTCATATTTAATACGTCACCCGAGAAGTCATTCAAGAGGAATGATACAATCATTCAAATTGGTGTAGTACTAATCGTATATTATATATGGAATTTATATTGAATAACTAGCAAATTGTTGTTTTACTAGAAACTTTAAACGTGAAATTTGGACATTAATAATAGTAAATTTTTTGCATTTTAATAAGCGTGTAAATATACATCACGAAGAGTAAATAACATAAGGACCAAACCAGTTCTCGAGTGATTCATAGTTGTAAAAATAAAAGAGAACCGGATGTAGATATAAAAAACGTTTGGGATTTCCTCAAATATTTTACTTTAGATATCATAATTAAGGACCACGGAAGAAAATCATTATTCACACTTTTAATGTCATCATTTTTCTGTACTTTTTAATTTACAGATTTGATCAACTCATCTTTTGAACAACTGATTTCATATTGGAATGCGCCCCTTCACAAAATAATATCAAAATCAGAAAAGTAATGAAGACAAAGTTATCGTGTCTCCTCCTCCTGTATTCTTCAATTACCACATACTTCCTAAACGATCGTTTAAACATGTAATCAACCGTTCGATCGACTCCGTCCTTCGAATTCCTGCAACCCACCTATCACCCCTCCATCTTTGTACATCATTTAACTTCAATTTCGTCGCCAAACGCTAAATGAAACGAAAGTTGTTAATCGATTTCTCGCTGCTGCTAACGCCTTTAAATCGTAGCCAACTAAACCCCGCTTGTCTATAAAGGTATAGACAGAGGACAACGATCAGTTGGGTACCGGTGCTCACCTCGTTTATCTAACCTAAACACCGGGATTAATCGCATAAATTCTCGTGGTTGTCAGAAATTCTATTTATCGAGCGGTGGGCGTTATCCTGGTCCCGACATAAATACGTTCTTTTATTTCCCCGGAGAGATCCGGAGAGGATGCTGGGACGCTATTCGAAAACTGTAGTCCTCTCACGATCAAACCAGTTCTCCGAGTTGAGGTGATCACCGGCTGCCTCAGATTAATCCCTTCCCCCTTGTCATTCCCAGCCCCTCATCCACCATTCTGGGAACTGATGACATGCCTACGGCCAGACGATGCCACTCCACCTTTTTCCTCATGTGCTTGCCACCTCCTTTGCCTGCCAGATCCTTACGTACATTCGCGTAGATTAACTTTTGATACGAGACCTCCTCAGTCTACGTTGGAACCTCGATTCGTACGCGCGAGCTGGGACACGTTGTACGCTTTCGGGTATCAAATTTCTATTAGTGACAGCGAATTACTTTAGTCTGCAGCGTAAGTTTTGGAGCGAGACAGGGTACTCGCGCAGCTGTAAAGTCGACGAACAAGTAGCCAGCCAGAGAACAAAAGATCGGCCCAGCACTGGTGCGCTAACAGGGGGGAAAATAAACGAGCAAACGTGAGTGCAAAGTAATCGTTAATCTTGTTGCCACGGCAAGGGACCGTGCTAGGTGTAAGTTTCATCTAAATTATGTAAAACGTCCCGCGTTCCAATAGAGGACGCTTTAACGTAGTAGCCCCTTCGTCGGCAAACGCGGCTTTATATCAAATTTGGTCTTTGATTATTTTATCCGGCTGTCGAATTTTGGCAGTGATTAGAAGTTCTACTAAAACGTGCGTGAGAATCAGTTCGATAAGTGGAAAACTAACGATTTTCCTTTCGATATGTGTTTAAGAAGCTTGTGATAGTTTTATGTGAATTCTTTCTTGAAGTTTCTCGGATTTTGCTAGTTTCGTAGGAATACAGAATGGTTACAAAATTAGTGTTCCTTCTATGTGACATCGGTCGATTTGGTTGTGGTTATTTTCGGTGCTATGTGTATTCTTTTGATTTTTAGACATTCTCTAGGATTTTCAAAGTGGTTGATCAACTTTTGTAAAGACATATGGTAGTTAAAGATTAGTGGTGTTTTAGAAATAATTTAAACGTGATGAAAACCTTTAATATCTTTTTATTCGGAATAAAAAGTTGTGCAATTAATGCATACTATATATAAAACTAAACGTACGATTTAAAAGAATCACGCTGTTATATTTTTTTCGTGTATTAACGTATAATTTATCAATAATTTGATCAAATGCATCAATTAATTCTGCTTTACGTTACACCTTCTTATTTACAAGAATTTCTAGAATATCTACGTATCTGCTGAGAAAATTATCATTTACATAATTCAGCAACTTCTGCAAAAAGTAATTTTATTGCTAAAGAAGCGGCTTGCAGTGTATTAAGTTAATTGATGACATTAATTGCAACGCATGAATGGCAACGCATTTATATGACGCGAAAGAGTGCTTCGTGATGCTTTGAAACTCGTCGTGATCGATGCAATGCCGACTCGCGTTACACTCGATGGAAAATACGGACTGATACACTAACAAGCATGATGCATTATTCGTGGCTTATGTGAATTTAGATCGGGTTACTTTCTATTTTACCGCGAGCAACGATGGTTGATTGTTAGCCGTTGCTATCGTACTGTCAACCCTGCACAAAGTTAGTTTTAATTTCTCAATTCCCGCGTAATTTATGGACATCCTGATACATTGGAAATTTATGCAATCGTGCATTGCGATACAATGAGATTCGCCAAGTGACACGTGAGAGAAGATAATGAATGTGCGTGTTTTTCATTATTTCACGACATAATCACTATCTCGTTTTCAGTTGAAAATGAGAAATGGGGTTAAAATCGAATTTTAATAAACAATTCGGAGTTAAGAAAGTTAATTGAAATTTGAATGTTCCGTATTATATACGGAATGTTTTAAAATGTGGTTGAACTTAGTCCTATAGTTTAGACGAAAATGGACCTTGAAGTTTGGCAAGTTTCCCATAAAGATAGAACTTGTACGTTTGTTCTCTTAACGCGTGTGGTCAACGCTTTGAACATCTAATTTAAAGGATTTCCAAACAAAGCGAATATAATGCAAGAGATTGACAGTTTGTACGACGAATTATCACATCTTCCTCAGTTACCAAGTTTAAGAAAAATCAAAATACAAAGACGAATAGTTCTTTTTCTTATATATACATAGCAGTTGTAAATTCTTCCTCGTAATAAAATTCAGGTACCATTATTAACGAAATGCAAACGCACATTACAAAGGTTTTATTGCTTCGCATAACCATGCTGTGAAGTTGTATTTAAAAATTACGATAGGCATAGATTCCAACAGCGAATATTCGCGAGTCAGCGTGACAAATAGAATGAATTGTTTCGAAAGCCGTTACGCGTTTGTAACGAATACCCTTCGCAACGATTTTCAGGGCGAGGAATCCCCCGAAAAAGGACCAGAAGAATCGTCCTCGAGCGAATTCCCGTCTTCGTGCAAGAGTTACAATTAATTGCTATCTACACGCAATAAATCGCGAGTTAGCGAGCGTACCAGCACAATGATAATGTAAAAGCCCAGGAGTACTCTATCTTCTTGGAAGCGTCTGTCATTGTATCGTCCAGGAAAGTTGAAAACTTACTCCTAAAATTATTGCCACTCCTACACCTGGGCGAGCCATTTACACGCTGCTTCCACTCTGTGTTTCATACGACGAATTTCAGATTTTTCCTAGAGATATCGTACTCTGTCCCTGTTAAAAGTTTTGTTCAACTTGAAACCTATATTTATGGTAAAAACACATATTCTTGTCATGTATAAAACGACTATGCTACAACTCTGTAGAAAGTAAGCTATAAATATAAAGAAGACAGATTACTGCGAGAACGTATGAAATTAATAACTCAACTAGTTTTATCTAAATTCTGAATCTTTCAGTACTTATCAATCATTCAACTCGTCCAAAATATTTCATCTGTCCAAACGTTTAACACGTTCAATCTACTTAAACCATTTCAACTGAACCTAACTTATCTAGTTAAGTTTAACCCAAGCTCTTCTAACTAACCCACGTCTAATCCCAGACCTAACCTACTGAATCTGCCTACCTAGCTCTAGCAACACCAAGCTCAATCCCTAACGTATTCCACATATTCGATCTAAACTTAGTTCAATGTTTAATGTTTGTAACTTTATAATTTGTTTTCACTTTGTCAGAATTTATCATTATTCTCGCCAGTAGCACGATGTAACTTCTCCATTGAAAGTATAACTGAGGTAGTTGAGCTGTCCTTAATAGTATGCTATTCTATTATAGTAACTTATGGTACCTACCTACCTAGTTTCTCGTAGAATATACATAATGTCCGATATGGTGCATTGATGTACTCATGATATAAGTATCTAAATATAGATATTTGTCTGACGAACAACATCCTTATCTACTTTCGTTCGATCAAGCGTGTTGATGGTGTTGAAGAAGATGAACCTATCGCATTACATCTTCTTTCACCAAAAAAAAAATTGTTTTTTATATTTTACTTAAACTTCTCCATTATTTTCAACATTTAGTACTAGATTATAGTCTACATAAAGCATCGTATCAGTTATTTACATTTTATATAACCGATGTGTAAATGCTCCTTGATCTTTCGTACAAACATAGAAACTTCTTGATCGCGATAAAGTTGCGATGAAGAGAATGAGAAGGGGAAGCGAGATTACGCGGAGTTTTGGGAAAGTACCGCGCTGATAGGAAGAGCGCGTTTGCTTCTGTTATCGTCGCGATTCGTGAAATTTTCTTGGTGGTAAGGGATTATTTGTCCGGTGGGAAGTTTGGATTTAATTTTCCATCCAGAACAATGCCGTGCGCGGCGCAATGGTGTTCGAGATTCGCGGTTGATTCGTCGATTCGAAGCTTCGTATTCTCTTCTGCCTCGCATTCATGATAAAAATGATATGCTTTGTTCTCGTGCTTTCGTCAGTGACCGGGGTTTAAAAAAAAAAAGACCGCTGCGAAATCTGAGTTTAACAGGAAACTGCACCCTCGACCGTGCAGCATAAATTTTTATGACGAACTGTAAAAGTATAGAAGCTCCACGCTCGAAGTAAACTCTGCTATAGTAACAGAGATTAAATCTTCCGCTATTCTATGGCTATTCGTGTCGCGAAAATTAAGATACGTTTACACTCTGTAGTAAAACACTCTGTTATGGAGTAATTTATATTGGAATCTCATACGCTTTAGGCGTTTGTACGTTTGTATGTATGTTTGATGTATGGATATTTTGTATCTTTTAAAATTTGTTATCAGGATTCGATACAATTAAACCAATTATCAATGGAATTTTACAAGCCAACGAAAATTGCAAATTATATAAATGTATACTCTTGCGTAGCAATAGGAAGTTTAGTAATAAAATATACGAAATTTTAGAAATAGATTTTATAGATTATAAATCATCTTACTATCTTATTTCACATACAATTATAAATCTACAATTTGTAGTTTGTTAAATCACTATTATTGTCATTAATATTCTATTACGTAATAATTTACTAACTAACGATATTACTAAATTACAACTTACACATTAAACGTTGTATTACACACAGATTTTCTACCAAGCAAATAACTGTAATTAATAAAACAGATAAATATAGTTCTATAAAAACGAATAACGTAGACTTGCGGAGACCTCGCAAAATTCAGATTAAAGATATTCTTCGACAATGATGTTAGACACTTTGAATCTGCATGTGCAGTTTGTCTGTTCCAAGTTACCAAAAATCTCATTAATAAATTTACTGCGATGAAAAATAGAAATACCTATACGTTTATCTCAATAGATGAGAAATTCTTTTCATATGTTGATGGTTGGTGAATATTTTATAGGTTTGCAATATTTTCCAACACTATTTCATCGTTATCAACACTCGACAGATAAGATATACGTAATTAAACATCTAAGAAAATGTGATAGAATATTTTTCTTTCTATTTGCTTTTTAAGTTTTATAACAGTGCTGTATAATGTATTGCGTATAATGATATAATAGAACTTTACAAAATTGGAAACACCTTTGAATTATAATACGTTCATTTAATAATGAGCGTTCGCTGTAAGTTGAAGAGCGATCATAATGTTGTGACTCCGGTAGAACTGCATCAAAACGGCACAAAGTCTAGATTTACGCGTCGCAGATCAGGAGAGGTGCGGCGAGCGAACTGTGAAATTATAAATACCCTTAGGAATTACAATGTTGCCCGTTGCCATCATTATGGCATACGCGATCTCCGCTTGTTTTTAGTAAAACGTTCATTAGTATCGCTTGAAGCTATTCGAACGAACAAAGTTGTTCCCGTTTCCGTATGAAAATTCCCGGTCGACATCCTAACAAGAATTTGTGTTTCAATGATGGGAAAACGAGAACTAATTTGAGAAATGAATTTGTGTAAGGATCGTCAAAGCGTATAGAATCCCGTATTTATTGGCACGTTGCTATTCTGATGTGAACTTTTGATCATTTTTACCAGATGATATCCTTATTGTTTTCATTGTTAAGACTTTAGGTTTAATTTATAGAGATTGTTCATAAACGTATTTATTATATTATTACGATATTGGTATCGTAATTATTACGATATTGTTGATTATTAGTCACTTGATTGGAATTACAAGTTCGTCTCATAATTAGTATGAAGTATATAATTACTATTCAGACTCATTTTCAACTTAGTGCTATTATATTGTAGAACAAAATATCTGCAGAATTTTAATGCATATTGGAAAAATATATAGTTTCAAGCAAGAAATTATCCGATGTGTATAAATAAAAAATAATATCATTTAAATTATCAGAAGTAGTTACATCTATTGTTTATATTTTCGGTAAAAGGTACATTTTCATAACTGCACTATAGCTGGTACTATTTTTAAAAACATTATTAAATGTCAATCTATGAGATTAAATGTTCTACAATTATTTTAAATAATCTCTTAGCCGGAGAATAGTTTCCTACCCATGTTAAAATAGCTACATATGAAATGGTAACTAATACCATACGACATTATATCGTTATATTATATTAGATTAGACTTATTATATATTATATTACATTAATTATATTATATTATATTAGACGAACTATATCGTTATATCCGATACACTTGTTTATCAGACATGACGAAATATTTCGTCTTACACGTCTTAAGAGGTTAATATCATACGTTTATTTAATTAGTATCTGACAGAAGAGTATTTTTCACACTGATATATCGAAAAATTAATCTGCATGACACAGTTCCCAAAGAACAGTATTCAAATGAAAATACAAAATCTTTATATATAATATATTATATATAATATATTATAAATTAATTTCTTGAATGAACATAAAATAATTATTTGCCCAAAAGTCATTTCAACCGAATGGTACTTTAATTCAGGATTTTTTCTTTTATTCTAAACTTTCATAAAGGCGAATCATTTTGTATCACTTCGACTGCCGTGTTTCTGCTGAAGCATATTAGACAAATAGAAAAGAAGTTGCAACTGTAATCTATCGATGCAATTCTACGATAAGTAGATTGTAGATATTTATGCATTTAAAGTAGGTCCAAGTGTGCAGAAATAAAATATAAGATGCATGAAACATGAAGGTATAATTTTTATTATTTCGCCTCTACTTTCGGAATAAAATCATTATAAGCATTTTTTAGATAGAATAATACATTTATTGTAAATAAGTTCTGAAAAGCGTAGTCTTGAAGGAAAATATGTATGTGACGATTCATGAATTGTGAAATGGGTAAAAACATTGTTCACGGAAATTAATTCTCGCAATTTAATGATTAGCATCAATTTTATTTTCGTATTATTCAAAGATATGAATATTCCATAAAATTTATTCCACGTAACATCAACGGGAGAAACAATATAAATACGTAACGTTTATTCGGTGACATTGCAAAGCCTGATAAAATACTTACTTTAAAATTGAATAATAAAATTTATCAGTCGAAACTGGAAGTCGATTGAAAATTTAATTTCGACTCAAATGAAAACCATGATCACAAATTGTAACAACAATACCGCGTACACTATTATTTACAACGAAGCCGGAAACACGACCGCGATACACAATGATGCATAATTAAAGTAGCTTCATAGCGTATTGCACACATCAGTTTTTAATTATTTCTTAAACGACTTCATACTTACATTTTACAAATTGCTACGAGCAATCGTAATTTCCAGAAGATTAAATTTTTAACTGTATTTTAGGTTTCAATAGTAGTCATTAAAAGTGGCGATATCAGGCTGCATCTATGGATTATAAAAACAGCTATTATTTGAAAATGAATCGCTTTGAGAATGGTTATTTCGATATACTAAAATTTTTGCGATTATTCTTTTATAATTTTCCTAAATGCAGTCGTGAAATATTTCTTTGATGATTTATTCAAATTTATATCTGTGAAATTTTTACGTGTAACCGAGATTAGCCGAAAATGATATCTTCCATCACATTTAGATATGTTTAATAGTTTCGTTAGTAGATACTTCGATGTTGATGAAATGAAGTTGGCCTTGTAATATGTTAATATATACAAAATTTCAAGTTTCACGCTGTTTTTCTGTCGATAAATTAATACTTGATTTTACATTTAAATTAACGATTTATTTTAGTATTTAAGAAAAATCGTGATTAGTTATTTTATATTTTACATTTAATATATTGTGTTATTTAACTATTAAATTAAATTAAATTAAAAGCATTAGTATTTAATCAAAATTTCTGAACCGGCATTGGAAACGTATAAATTATTGTCACATGAATACAAAATCTTGTGATGTAAAACCAAAAATAGGTTTAAGCAGAGACGAGTATGATGTCAGATGTGTTACCAAATTTTTTGTCGAAAGAATATTAATCTCGAACCAACCGAAAGAAATTACGTCACCCAAAATTATAATGTGATATTCTCGACTAATTTATAAGAAGTGAAGTATTGAATTAATTAGTTGTAAACTTAATGTCAAGAGGAGAAGGTTATACAACAAATTATTCAGAGCGCTATAAATGAAAAGTACCTTGATTGCCTAAAAGAGGATCGTAACCTTTACGTTAAAAATAAATATGTTCGTTTGAGGTGGGAATTCTAGTTAGTAGCTCTTGACAGAACGAAATTATAACATTTAAATACATAAACTTAATCTTCTGTTCATCTATTACTTTATTTCAATAATATCAATCCAAAAATGATTAATTTCCATAATACGAGTACATACACAGTCACAAGCGTTATTATGCATCTTTTGTTACATCCGTATCATTTATGTTTTATAATGCAGAATATAAAATAAAGTAAAATTTGTTGAATAAATTCTTAGGGCTAAATATCTTGATATTTATGGCGAACAATGTATATCTTTAACAGAAAATAATCAGAAAAATATCTTAGTCACTTCTTATTTTTTCAGGATCCAGAGAACAGCACAACTGTATAGCTTGTTAATTATTAATTAAGGATGCGTTTGCTGCTAGCGATCGTAGCTCTAAGTTTCTGGATTTCGTGCATTCGTGCCTATCCTGCGAACGGTATGATCAAGAATAATCAGAATCGGGACACCATCTACTTTCCCGACCAAGCAGAATACCTACGGCATTCCATGAAATGTTCTAAGAACGAGATTTTGTGGCCATTTTATGGATATATTCGTCGGTGTTACAGAGAAGGCGAACAAGGTCCCTGCAATATCGGCAGAATTTTGGTTTTTGATAAGAGATACATGAAACCTGTTTGCAAAGAGATGACATTGAAATAAACAACCGAGGGTTGCAGATACTGCTCTTACCGATTCGACGGAATTCTGGCAAAGATGTCAGCAGGAATACAGTAGTTGCACTCGATATACTTTGAATATTAGTTCGAGTTTATAATTCTTTTTTTTTTTAATATAGAGTAACAATAACTAATTTTATATATTTATATTTTGTATTTGTATTCATATTATATATTGTATATTTATAATATATATTATATATATACAATATAATAAACATAATAGTTTAACTTCATTCAATTTTAACTCTTATTTCATTTATACAGAGAAAGTAACTTTGTGATATGTCTGACTGCATAGTATATTGGATTAATTTAATATGATGCGTCAATATGGAATGTTTGGCAATATGTAAAATTCAACATATTTGTAGAATTACAAATTATTTAAGAAATTCCCACATCGACTGATTTATCACATAACTCCAGTAATTTACGTAGTTGGATATATTCATGTACGTGTAACATACTCTTTCATTTGTTCATATGTATACTCAATACTTTCTATAGTTCTAGTATAGTAGTATCTCTTTTATACTGTGTCAATAATAAATCGTTGAAAAATAGAATTTGTTGTGAATTAAATTCGCTACCAATTTTGGTTTCAAATTAATAGCGATTAATAGCGAAATAAAAAATATGTCAAACAATTAAAATAATTTAATTAGTACTGTAACAAAGGAACTCTTATGTTATTCCCCTATTGTAGCGAAATATTTGTGTTTTTTGTTTTTGTTATAAAACTATACTCATGGTAAAGGAATTAGAAAAAAGTACAAAAAGGAAGAAATACAAAAATACAACGAAATTAAACAGTTGGATAAAATATTAGTCGGTTATTTCGTTTTAAGATATATTTTAAGATATATTTACAAAGGACAACAGCATATTTTGTATCTTTTTCTAATCAATTTTCATTCAATCCATCAAAGTACATCGAATACACGTTCGATCTGCATACACGCATGAAGAGCCCAAAAAACCTTTAATGAGAAATACTTGGATTCGATACCTACCTAGCCTTTCTTTGGTTAGCCTTTTGCAAAATTATATTCAAATTATCAGATGTTTATATCTTATCAATCTTATTTGAAAACGATAGGTGCAAATTTCATACAAAAAATCAAAATTTAGTTGTTTGCACAAAAAAGATTCGGCTTCATATTTTTATAAAACTAATAATTAACAAACGTAGTAATGTGTAGTGTTTTGGAAGATGCTCTATTATAGTGTGATATAAATTGTACATTTTCATATAATTGGAGTTATAATTTTATGGTTATGTTTGGAAAAATATTTACAAGTTTTAGTCATTTTTAATGTATATTCGAACAAATCTATATATTTACCGATATTTTCACTATTTCAATCATTTTTGCTACACTGGAAAGCTGCCATTTGCCATTAACGTATCCGTGTGCAGAAAATTATTACAGAATATTCCTCATTAGTACCCATTTTTTCCAATAAATGCATATTAAAAAATTCTATATTGTTACATTCTCGTCATTTATTATGAGATAATCAACCGTGGATAATCATAATACGTCCTGAAATATGCTTGAGTTAATCTAAATACATCAAAATGTTGCAAATTAACTTATAAATGTAATTTTCTTTTTTGAAATGTATTGTTTTAGCATAACATTAAAAATAATGGAATATAGAATATAAATTATTTGAACCAATTAAATGATTGCCCTTTCAGAATATGTCAAATGAATCATATAGATCATATATATTAGACCAGATATTTTGTGCAAGAGTTAATTGGCTATATTTAATACTACACAAACTATCACTATCAGCGTGCACTTAAATTATTGCCCGATACAAACTTACATCTTATTTCAAATACACGTTGTTCACAATTACTATGTTGATTAACTACTTCCTAACTATCTTTTCTTTACTGGAAAAACTAATTTTTTAATATTTCCAAAACCTCTGTATACGTATGCAAATAAATATGTTTTTTCAGTTGGCACTCATTCTTTAAAATTTCTTTTGTTCATTTCCTTGTTTTCGCGATGCATACGTGCTTCGAATCGCAAGTTGTCTACGATTCACCCTATTTTAAGAATGATTGCAACCGGATAATAGGTACGATAATCTCATCGGGCTTTCGATCTTGAGTGTGGTACGCGTACAAACAAGATACAATCGAGTTTACTCTGCAGAATCCCCTAGCGCACTTCTCTATTGAGAGACACCAATACCCACGGTGTAATATAGCCTGATCGAAATGTACTTTCTTCCCTGGCATTGGTAATTGCTTGCTTACGGCAACTACATATTTCTAACTGCGTTTCTCTAATTATTAAGTAATTCGGAAAAGTAAATCAGCGATTCCATGCACGCAAAACCATATGATGTCTCGTATAAATTATATACTGAAATTTTATTTCATTGAATAACAATAAAGAATCGGAAGATGAAACAGTATCAATAGGAAGTAACTTTAAGAAAATGAATTCTTTTGAATCAATTCTTCACGTTATTTTGTATAAGAATGTCATAAATATCGTAACAAGATTGGAATGGGAATATACTGCTTATTTGATAAATGCGATCAAATTATTAAATTTCATTACTTAATACTGTAGGATATATATGTATAATAATTTATAATTATAAGCAAGCAGAGAAACCAACTTATTGCTACTATTTATAAAACGCTCCAAAATTAGTACCTTGCGTGCACAATGTAATTAGTGTTTCTTAAAATGTTTCTCTTAAAATAAATTATCTGGTTCATTTTAGAGTGAAACATGCAACGATCAGGAGTAAATAATCATTTTTTATTTGAAGAAATTAATAAAATTAAATTCGGAGTTATTATACTGTAATTTACATATTTGTACATTTATAGCTATATCTAAACATAAAGAATATCATGTAAATTTTAACGTGGAAAGTTTCTTCTCCTTTCAGTTATTTTGTCATCCTTATTCTGTATGGAACGAGAATACGTCAACGATATAAATGAACTATCACGGTTCTTAAACTACTGTAATAAGGAACTTATGAAAGAGTACATATTAAGATAAATTCATGTATTTTAGAACAGACATAATTAAAGCGTTATGGTGTAAATTAAACTGTTCTAACCATATGTATTTAAATTTTCATTTGCAAATAAAAGTAAAAGCTATCAAAATTACATGTACGCATTTTAACATTTCATATTTCCGTGAGTATTGGAGACACGGTCGCTTGTATGAATGATATAACTATTAATTCCAGAGCTACTACGAAATTAAAGCCAAAATATTCTGTTACTTGAGCAACTACGGGTTCTTCTCTCTTTTGTAGAAATTTACGTATTTATCGTTATTAAACTAAATTAAATACCAAACATTTATCTGGTAAATTTCTGAATTACAATATTTTAATCTCTTTTTCAGTAGCAAACAATACATAAACAATTGCCTTTATCCAAAAATTTTCTTTTAACCCTGCTGGTCTCTACACCTGTTTTATATGACTCAAATAAAAATTACATTTTAATAAATATTGCGTTTTAGTAAATATTACTAAAGTACGAACAGCGTATAAATATGTTGTTTGTGTTATTCGATATATATTTTGTATTTGTATAAAAGTTTGTATATTTAAAATAATTTATATATTTGTAAATTTCACTACTTTATGTGTATGTTACACTTTTCGTTTCGAAACTTGAAAAAGGATATTGTCTAAGGATACAAGAGTGAAAAATAAGTGAAAGAAGACAATAGGGTTGAATTTGTAATGAATTAACAAATTCCTCCAACGCTAAATGGCCGTATTATTAATGATTTCCTACTTGTTGCATCACCGTACGTTACAACAATATATATTTAATAGAATTTAATTTCCTCCAAAAATACATCAAAGTACATACACGATACTTCATTTTCATTTTCTCGGCCAGCAGCGTACACGAAAGGTTTCTCACCTCTGAGGTAGCTTCTACGTATGCAGACAATAAGAACGGGTGAGATTTCCTCTCGAGACTCGCATAATTCTCGTTACGTACCATGTATTTAAATCACGCACTGCTGTACATCATTCAGCCTGGTGAATCTCCGAGATCCAACGAGAAGCTTACAATGGACCTTGGTTCAAAATGCAACGTCCCGGCGCTTTTTCGGCTAGTGAGATTTAAATCTTTGGATTAAAAGGAGCAAGAAAAAACTCTGCTGGAGATATTCTCCCTTCGCTTGGCAGGGAGCTGCGATTTCTATAGTCGTTTATTCATTCGACTTGCTGCACCGGCGGTCTGTGATGGAATTTGTTTTCCGGAGGGAACTAAATCGTGTACAGATTCGCCGGCCGTGTTACGCCTGAAACAAATGTAAGCCATTGGATTACGAAAAGCGGCGGTCAAGGCAAACCACCGGCCAGTGGCCATGCTGGACTGCTTGGCTCTTCCTTAACCCTTTTGCTAGGATACTTATATATGTACATTAACGTAAGTATACGGATTCTCCTGTCAATTTATGATAATTAGGCTGGAAAAAATATATAAAATATCCAAAGTATAGTGCTTTCTATGATACTTGGTAAGTAAAATCATTTTCTATCTAGGTTCTATTTTCTTAATTATGAATTCTCAAAAGTATGAATTTCAATATAAATCCGTAATTTCGTGATGTAATAAAGATATGGAACTTCGTTTCTATGAGTTCCAATTATGTGAATGAAATTTTAACAATGCTTGGCTACTTGAGCTCTTATTATCTGAACGTCGCTCTACTTGTGTGAACGTCTAACAATAAACAGTAGGATCAGGCGTGATGTGACACTCGCTCTCACGCTTCGCAATTGATACAAATCTGCAACATTATTATGCATTTAAGAGCAAATGTTTCTTGGAATCCCCTTATTATATGAACACGAACTCCAATTAACTGAACGAAAAATCATAGGTAATGGGCACAGACATAGGTGGACTCCTATTATATAAACGACCTGGGTATATGAACCACCAACTTGTACCATGACAGGTTCATATAAACAGAGTTCTACTGTAAAAACATTGCTGAAATGTGCACATTAATTACGAATTAACGAGGATAAATAATATTTTCCTTTCATTGAATCAGTACAGAAACATTTCATCGTATAGCAAACAAATAATTAGAAGCAGTATTTAGTAGCCTTTTATGGAATTAGTAGACTATAAATTGAAATTACATATAAATTATATTATTAAAACAAGGTAATAGACAATTAGCAACAATTACATATATAACCTGATATTCGAATCTGTTATTAAGGCGTTGAAGTCGAGATGAATCTCCGCCTCGTACAAGGATTTATGCGGTGGAGGAAAGAAGTCGGGCGTTCACAATGCGATCGTTTGTCACGGAGTGCTGTCGTCGAGCCGCTTTTTATATCCGCACGTCGGCGATGACAACACGCGGCTCAACTCGTGGGGACCGAAGTTAACGATGGAAACCTAGCCACCGATTCTTTGCACGGAACATCTGCATTCTATAAGATACCCTCCGCTTCACTGATATGATACAGAGATTCAAAGATTTATAGGATGTTTGACAACGGATCATCCGATCGACAAAAGACCAACCATCTGTGGAAAATGGATTTAAAATACACAATACAAGTATCTTTCTAC